GCTATCACATTGCAGAAAACAGTACTAGTCAAGAGTGCTAGGTGTCAGGGTATGAAACATTCAGAGAACTGAACTACTGTGAGAAATGTAGGCATCATAAAAAGTACATGGTCAAAAAAGTGTGTGTTTATAAAAAAAGAGGTGGGGGAATCACATGTCTTTATGTAATCCAGTGTATGAGTATGTAGTCATAAGAACTCATTGTACATATGTAGTCATGAAATACAGGTGGAGAATGGGAATGTGTATACGAGTATGGTCATAACAGGGTCCTAAATGTGTGCTTGAAAGCAAGTGGGTATATATGAAAGTGTGTGGTTGTAATTCTGTGTCAGAGCTCAGGACTGTATGTTATGGTATATGAGTATACGCAATCATAAGAACGAAGGAAAACAGGCATATGATTCTAGCAATCACAAAATCCTGTATACTTCTAGCCAGGCATGGTGGCACACGCCTTTAATCCCAGCACTCAGAAGGCAGAGGCAGGCTGATCTCTGTGAGTTCAAGGCCAGCCTGGTCTACATAGAGAGTTCCAGGCCAAAAAAAAGACCAAAAAAAAAAAAAAAAAAAAAAAGAAGAAGAAGAAAGAAAAAGAAAAAAATCCTGTATACATCTAAGACCATAGTGGGACCATGAAAGTCATCCATGCATATGTTTATGATCGTAAAAGTGCACTGCTTGTCATGAAAGAGTGCAAATGCCTGGCCTTGAACATGTGTAAGAATATCTGAGAGGGAAAGGAAAAAGGGATGGGGTGAAAGAACAGAAAACTCTACTAGGTACTTTATTCCACATAGGGCCAAAAATTTTAGACATGCCACAACTGACCTTGAGTGAGCTGAGGTCATGGGAACGGGCCAACCCTTCTTTTGGTTCCCTCCACCCATTAGGGATGCACTGAAGGGTGCAAGTTCAGGGATCTATGTCCATGACAGAAGGCTAGGCTCACCGCATGTATTTTCCAGAATGTCTAACAAACATCCTGAACCAATCTTTGGCCTGGCCAGGCTTCCTAGGCCTTCTACTCTCAGCAGCACTCCTAAGTCAGACTTGGGAAAGCATTCTTCTAACATAGCTGCCAAGGTTCACTGTACCTAGCATCTTCCACTCAATCACCCACCATAGCTGCACATTTCCTACTCTGTGTTCCCTTCACAATATCTTTACTTGATTTTCTCTTAAGAACAAGGATCTTACTATATCATTACTCTATGGAATGTTTTCTTAAAGTGAACGGAAACCTATCTCCTCTTTGAAATGACAATCATCCGGCTAGAGAGATGACTCAGGGGTTAAGAGCACTGGCTGCTCTTGCGAGGACTCAAGTTTGATTCCCAGCACCCACATGGCGGCTAACAATTGTCCATAAATCCGGTTCCAGAGGATCCAATACCCTCTTCTGACCTCCACAGGCATTTCACAACATGGCATGGGTGCACTTACACACATGCAGGCAATATGCTCACACATAAAAATAAAAATGAAATGAAAATTATCTATCCTAAAACAATGGTCATGAAGGTACATCAGATACCCACAGAACTGCATACTTATAATTCTAGCACTTAGGATGTAGAGGCAAAAAGATAATTAATTCAAGGTCATCCTCAACTATATAGCAAGTTTGAGGCTACCCTGGGCTACCTGAGACACTATCTCAAAAAAAAAAAACACCCCACAAAAACAGATATATACAGAATTTATGAGAAACCAACTCATTGGCTGGGCAATATAGTAACAAAGGCCTCTAAATGCACCAACTACATCATCTAACAGTTAAAAATTTATTTCATTCAGCCTTATGTACTTAAAAAAAATCTCTATACAATGATATGTTATAGATTTATACAATTTTTAAATGCATATAATATATACTAAATCTATACATTCAGAGGATTGTTCAGGGTTATAAACCTAAACCCAAATACTCAGCTTTATGACAGACTTGGGAATTTTTACATTATCAACTGCTAATTTCCCCAATGGAATGTAACAATACGGTACTGAGTCCCCAAGGGCTCCTGTGCTCCAGGTTAAATATTCTTAATTGCAAGGAGATCCTGCTTCATAGAACCCAGGGGACCAGAGACAGATCTCTTCAATTCAATCCAAGAATCACTCATTGAGTGATTTCCATAAATGTAGTACCACTATAGATAAAGACTTATATGATGCATCTCAGCCCCAGAAAGATCACAAGCTACTTAGAAGAACATAGACATACCTATAATTGTTGGAGAGCAATACATAGTAGCATTTGACCAAATAGTATTGTTTCTGGCCTAGCCTGGCGTCAGTGCTAAGCACCACTTAAGTATGACGAACTGAATTAGGTGGTAGCAGTATCTCCAGCTCTCAGAAGGAAGTGGCCTAAGCCAAGGCTTCTGGGCTCCCAACTGAAAGGCAGGCAGTTGACCTGTGCTACAGATGACTTATGGGAAAGCAGGAAACACTTGAGGGAGCCCCCCCTCCCCCAAGCTGTAGCACCCAAGCCTATCTGCAGGCTAAGTACAGAGCCAGGTAGCAGTCATGCTTGCATTGTGAGGCAGTGGCTGGGTGAGGACAAGAGCACAGTCTTCAGGGTCTGCTGGCCCTGAGTTTCGTATCACCCTCCCTGAGGGCTGCTTGACCCACTACTGCTTCCCCCAGCTGTGCCCCCATTGACATTCTCAGTTCTCCAAGGCCTCTTCCAAGTTCAGCAATACTGAGCCCTTCACAGAGTGAAGAATTCAAAGGGGTCATGGTCCTGGGCATATGGTCCTCAACATAGGACCACAGTCCCTCTGAGTTCTTTACTCTGCTGGCCACCCGAAGTGCCACACTCCTGTGAGCCAGCACCGTATGCCCTCCAGAGCTAATTATAGGTCAGTGAGCTAGCAGGCCAGAGCAGAGACAGATGGTAACTTATGTGGTTGCAATATACACTTGTCTTTCCCTCTGACCCCACTCCCTCCTCTCCTTTTCTCCCAATTCCCCACATGGGACCCAATTTTGAGGCAGCTTTTACTTTCTCAATCTTCTTTACTGATCATCTCCAGCACACATGTATGCAGACATACACACACACACACACACACACACACACACACAACCCTCTATACTACCAGTCAGCACAGCCTACCTTGTTTACAGAACAAATCCCCTACCAACTCAAACACAGTAGAGCCCTTCTAGGCCCAAGTGAGAGTATCCTTGGCTTTACAAGGCCTCAGAGGTAATGCCCCTGTATCTTAACAGCCCCTTTGGTCACCAGCTTCCTGGCCCTCCTGAGTCTTCACTCCTGCCATCTCAGCCCAACTACTCAGTTCTATCTCTGCTATACTTGGAGTGTCAGAAAAGACCCACAGGTATCCCTTAGAACTCTTTCCAACCCTAAGATTTCAACTGTCAACTCAGAAAGGAGACCCAGGAGCCTGCCTGTTTGCCTGCCCTATCCTGTCCCTCCAATCCCTCCTTTACAAGCCAGCTGCTGGGTCACAGCTCATACACATGAGTCATGACATGCTCAGCAGCACAGACCCAAGCATCTCTAGATGAGAGCTCCCTCAGGCCAGCTTCACATGCCCATCCATTTTCCAGAGATGGTGTCTCCTACTGTACAGAGTGTCTAGGGCACTCCTGGCCCCAGTCAGCATTGTACTATTCACCATCTTGTTACTTAGAGACATCATTTCTCAGGAAGCCTCCTCAGGCCTCAGCACAAAATCTGAGAAAATAACTGATGGAAACTATCCAAGCTGTCCTTTTGGCTAAGGACAACCTGGCTAGTTGAACAGTGGTAAGGATTACACAGAATGAAACCCAGATGGGCTTTCTTTCACTAGTCCACTAGCAATGTAATAACTAAATTGTGTATAGGAGGGGGGTGCTAACAATGCCTACTATGTATGCCTACTTTGGATATCTTTCAGCTTGCCCCAAGGCCTTAAACTGCTTTTAGATTACCAAGTATCCAGCATGGTGTCTGACATGTAGTAGGTGGCCAATAAATGTTTACTGACTAGTAAACAAACTACTAAGTTCCAGTTACCACAACTCTGGAAAGGACTGCAGAAGTCCCTGAAATCTCAGAAGCAATCTCTTTAAGCTCACAACAGGAGGGAATCAAGCTAAGCACTGCCTTCTTACCCATTTGCTTTCCACAAACAAATGAACAGCTGCCTCAACTCCCCTCCTCTACGAGCACATCTCTCTTCAAAGGTGACATCAGCATCTAGTGGCACTTGGTCCTGGATCCCTCCTCCTTCTCAAAGAAAACCACCCACACCACGTTTCCAAGTCCTCCAGCACGACCTCCCTACCCACCATAAAAACCTCTAACATCCATGCTGGAAAACACTCCTACTGCAATTCACAAATCAGCTCCTCACTCCCACCCCGACTCCAGTTCAGGAATCTCTATTAGGGCTGTCTTTTCCTGTTGCGCCCACCCTCATCCCCACCCCCACTGGCCCCCGGCTGGCCGCTCTTCTACCCTACCGCCTGGCACTGCAGAGATGGGGGTATCTCTGGCACAGCCTGACACCCCGATTGTTCCAGGTTTGGAAAGCTGGAGATAGTAGACAAGGGCATGAGACATGGGAATGATGAAGACCCCCGGGAAGAACGAAGACCTGAGCCCCTCACAGGCGCTTGCCCAAAGGAGCAGAGTTGGCCCCCTAGCCGAGAGGCGCTTTTGCTGTGACTCTCCTGGAGCGGATGTGGAGGCGCAGTCCACCCAACTCCCACCGGGAGACCAGCCAGTTCAGCCCCCTCCCAGGGAGCCGATGGAGCCAAGGGTGAACTCCACGCCCGCCCAGCAAAACGGGCATCGCCCCCATCCTCATCTCCAAGGGCACAGGGCACTGCAAAGAGACGGGCAGCAGAACAGCTCAGTGGAGACGCATTCTGACTAAAGGGAGCCGTCTCCCAAGGCGCACTGAGACCCCTCCCCAAACTGTGCAGGGGAGCTGGGAAAGGGGGCATCCTCCCCCGGTGCAGGGGCTCTGGGTGCTCACCTGCTGGCAATCGCGGAAGGCCCAGCAGCAGGCAGATTGCTCGGAGGCAGCAGGGCGCCGCCCCCGACCTCGGCAGCGTGACAAGGCCGAGGCAAGCGCGCAAAGGTATCTGCAGCCTCTGCTGCCAGTCCGCCAGCCTCGAGGACCCGCCCCCTTCCTCCGCGATACCCCGGCCCCACCCCCCAAGGGTGGAGCCTGGCCACTTCTCCGGAGGCCACGCCTCCCAACCTAGCACTTCCCCCCCCCCCCCGGTTCGCACGTGACCTGGGCGCTGCTTTGATGCTGTGCGCCATCTTAGTTGGGCCTGAGAGCACCAATGCTTAACCTGGTCAGGGCCAGGTCTAGGGAGCACACATCCTGCAAAACCACCCCACCACTGAAATCACCTTTCCCAAGTCTAACCTGTTCCCTAAATGGCCAGTGGTTTGTCACCTTCCACACCAGTTCTATCCCACACATTTTCCAAGTGGAGAAATTTGAAACCCAAACACATTCTTGGTAGTATGCTCGTCAGTGAATTTTGTCACTTGCTTTTAGGCATGACTGTCCTAACACTGTTTCTATAAAATGAAGTGTTTGTCTATGATGTACATAGTATGAAAACAGCTTCAAATGCCAAAATTCCTGAGCAACAAATTTTAGCTAAACCTACTTTCCTGAATTGCTTCCTTTCTCTGCCCCCATGGCTATTACTGTCTTTCCATCTGGTTTGTAAAGTTTCATTACAGTGCCTTTTCAAATCCTTTACAAATACCCAGTATGCACTGTTAGAAGTGTGAAGAACTTTTATATACATGCAATGTATACAAAGTCATTTATACACATTTATATATACACACTCTAGAACAGCAAAGACTCAGGTTCGGGTCAGTGACACATGCAGTCTTTCATTTATTTTCTGCCAATATATTAAACATTTCCTTACATCTTTAGAAGGCAAGGAAATATAATTCTGATGAGGCGTAAAGCTAAACGAATTGTTTGATCCTCTGAGCAAGAGTACAATTTAAAGTGGGATTATTAGGCAGTTTTTAACCTGGAGTCCACGAAGTTCCAGGTGATCTAGTTTTTACTAAAAGGCAATCCTCCCTTCTTTACATCCTTTCATTAACAAAACATAATGGCAGAAGAGGCAACTCAGCCAAAGCAGAGGAAGGCTGAAGTTATTACTACTACACCCACTTTACCAAGTGTTTGGCCATGTTAAAAGAACAGCAGAGGCAATAACTTCAGAAACAAAATAAAATACCATCATACCATGGAGACTGACCCAAAAATTCAGAGGTTGTGCCAGAAAATAATTAAGCCACATTTATTTCACCCCTTTTAAGATAAATCCTAAATGGGAGACACAATCCAGAAGAACAACTTCCCCCCACTACTCCATGGCATCTTTTGTTTAGGTTATTAGGGATTCTGCTTCTTCTGCTCCCAAGAGGCAACTCTGGATTGCAGAGATCTGTGAAATGCTTACTTAGTCCTTGGGCTTTTGCGTTATTTCTGTCAATTCAGTACCCTAATTCTCTTTTTTACTGACCCAGACCTACTTTCTGTGTGACCAGCTTTAGTACTGCCCTCAACGTGGGGTAAGGCTGTCAGCAGCAGTATCAAACAGATGCTTCTTGAGAATGGTCTTTAAATAGCATGGGGTGGGGAGGATGGTAAGAAAAAAATAACACATCAATTTAGCAGCTTCGCTCACAATATCTGCCCCCACAAGATTTTCATGTTTAAAGCATACTGTCTTTGCTGGATGTGCTGGCTCACACCTGTAATCCCAACACTTGGGTGGCTGAGGTCAGACAATTTTAAGTTCAAGGCCAACCTGGGCTATATAGCAAGGACCCTGTCTTAAAAAGACTAGATAGGTATCTGGGGGATGGGGAGAGTCTGTTGCAGTGCTAAGGCTGAACTCTGGGCCTGGAGAATAAGAATACTGTCTTAATGCCTACCTCCTGACCACATCCAGGTGGGGAAAGTAAGCAACAGGGTATTCTTAGCAAAGCAAAACAAAACAAAAAACCCACCCATGATCCTCTTCTCAGAGCATGCTGAAGACAGAAAGTCCAAGGAGGATATCAGCATTTCTGCATGGATAGAAGGCCAGGCTCCTGTAGACACAGGATGATAACGAAGGTACCAAAGTACAGGACAGGGCAGAGAAATGTCACTAAGGACTTCAGAGTTAAAGGCTGGCTTCAACATGTAATACATTTTTGAAAACAACTTTTATCGTAATACCTTTCTAAATGAAAATGCCACAAATCTTCCTAAAATACCTGTTTTACCTTTTACTTAATGCATATTTGTGCATTTTACTTAATGCATATTCAAACATCCTTTTCCTTAAAAAAAAAAATATTGTGCTCTGCCTATTCCTTTTTACCACTATCTACCTACCACAAGAAAAATGAGACTGGCCTTTTAAGTTGTGGTATAGCAAAAAAGTCCTGGGTGGGACTCCTAGCTCTGTGTGTTGGCAGTTCTGGCCTTGGGTAGTCACTGATTCAGCTTCTCAACCATAAAATGGGAAAGGTTTTCGCCTACCTTGCAAGACAGAAGGATTAGAGACACTATGTAAAGATCCTAGAACAGTACCAAGGGCACATAATCATTATCATCACTATCAGTCTCATGCAACAAAACAACCCAAAGATACAAAAATCAACAAAACAATACTTATGTAATAAATATCCAAAAATTATTTTTTAAAAAAGATGCACAAGTCAGTCTTACAAGATTCTGACAACCCTGTCACCTGCTTTATTTCTGAAGAAGGGTAAAGGGAAAGAAAAAAAAAATAGTCACTTGAATTTGAGGGGCAGCAACATTGGAACAATCATTTTTAGCCTCTGGGTTCCTCTGATTCATAAGGGAAATTTCCTTGCTTGAAGATTTAAGAGTTTAATTTTCCCTAAAGTAAGATCATCCAATTTTGCTGAGATAAAAGAATAAAGAACAAACTCAACAGCACCAAATGGGGTATAACACAGAAAATGGGGCCAGGTTTCTCCTTTCAAATGCAAATTTTTACATTAAAATGTTTATAAATCGTAGTTATTTTTCCTCTTGATTCAACCTTTGCTACCTCCTGTAATAGGAGCCCCAGGAACCCAAACAGCATGTGCATTACTAATCAGATACACAATCCAACTGCCCCTTCCAAACCGAATCTGATTACTAAGGGAATGGACTCAGAGCTGTTCCAAGGGACGAGAAGCAGTAACTATGCTCTCAGGGAGAATGGATACTGCGGATGCCACCAGTCAAAGAGTCGAACACTGTGCACTGGGTCCAGGATGACTTGCACACCCTGTTCACTGCGCAGATTCCGACTACCACGGACAGGAGAATCTTGGAACACCAATCTCACTCGATGATGCCGCATGTCCGTACTCACATTAATGGTAAACTAGAAGAGAAAAGCAAATTTAGTCCTTAATTTAATCTTGGTTTCCTTGGGCTTTCCTTAAGGCAGTCTATATATAATAAACCCTGAATAGGTCACAAGAGTCATCTCTAAGTTATATAACACCAACACCTTTGTAAAGATGCAAAAAATTAAAGGTGATTTTATAAGGGCTTCTCAGCTTCATATATCTAAACTATGCTAAAGAAACTCTCAGATGGGTGAATAAATTAAGATATATGCACATAATTTATCACAAACACCAATTTTTCAATTGTGTTACATGTATAGGATAATGATGGAACTCTGAAGGGACACTGTTGAACAAGTCAAGCAAGATGTTATGAAACCTAAATCTGATCCAACTTCTTGTAAAAAAAAAAAAAAAAATCTCCAACTAGGTCTATAGAATTAGAATGGAGTCATGGATAATGAATACAGTGAAATTATTAGCACAGCTTAACCTGAACACAGGTAACAGCAGCATTATGATACACCTTCAACCTACAAAACTATTTTATAAGAATATATACATGAACACATTAACGAACACATTTTAGAAAGTTCCCAGGTTACTTGCAGTAAAAGGATAGTGGCAGTCTAAGTCACCTCTACTTTCTCCATATATTTATGCATAATACAAGTTCATATGAGCACGTTATTTATCAAAGAAAATAAAGCTATTTCATCATGAAGAGGAACCTATGCATCTCTGAACATAAGCTTACAACAGAAGACAAATGACAAATAACATGAACTTTTTGGTTGCCAAGCCAATTAAATTCTTTTAAAACATGGAAAATATAAGACACAGGCACATTGTTCACTAATTCAATTCTTAGCCAAGTTTGGAATAGTCAAGAGCATACACAAAAGACAGAGCTGCCAAGCATGGCAATACACGCCTTAAATGCCAGCACTTGGGAGGCAGAGGCAGACACATCTCTGTGAGTTAAAAAACAAAGCAAGGGGGGGGGGGAGCTGCAGGAAACAACAGAGGCCTTGCTCCCGTTGTCTCCCCGTCCCGCAACGCACAACCCCGGGATGCACCCCCGCCCCCTACCCCTGTCACCATGGCTAACAAGGAAGCAGCCTTTGATAACACAGTGGAGGAACGTGTGACCAATGAGGAATATAAAATATGGAAAAGAACACCCCTTTTCTCTATGATTTGGTGATGATCCATGACCCATGCCCTGGAGTGGCCCAGCTTAACTGCTCAGTGGCTTCCAGATGTAACCAAACCTGAAGGAAAAGATTTCAGCATTCATCAACTTGTGCTGGGGACACACATATTGGATGAACAAAACCACCTTGTGACAGCTAGTGTCCAGCTCCCTAATGACGGTACTCAGTTTGATGCATCACACTACAACAGTGAAAAAAGAGAATTTGGAGGCTTTGTCTCTCTCTGTCAGTGGCAAAATTGAAATAGAAATCAAGATCAACCATGAAGGAGAAGTAAACAGGGCCTGTTACATGCCCCAGAACCCTTGCATCATTGCAACAAAGACTCCATCCAGTGATGTTCTTGATTCTGATTACACAAAGCATCCATCTAAACCAGATCCTTCTGGGGAGAGCAACCCAGACTTGCGTCTCCGTGGACATCAGAAGGAAGGCTATAGGTTTTCTTGGAACCCAAATCTCAGTGGGCACTTGTTTAGTGCTTCAGATGACCATACCATCTGTCTATGGGACATTAGTGTAGTTCCAAAAAAAGGCAAAGTGGTAGATGCAAAGACCATCTTTACAGGACATACAGCAGTAGTAGATGTTTCCTGGCATCTGCTTCACTCATAAGTCTCTGGGTCAGTTGCTGATGATCAGAAACTTATGATTTGGGTTTGGGTCAGTTGCTGACGACCAGAAACATGATTTGGGATACTCGTTCCAACAATACTTCCAAACCAAGCCATGTGGTTTGCTGAAGTGAACTGCCTGTCTTTCAATCCTTATAGTGAGTTCATTCTTGTCACTGGATCAGCTGACAAGACTGTTGCCTTGTGGGATCTGAGAAATTAGAAACTCAAGTTGCATTCCTTTGAATCACATAAGGATGAAATAATCCAAGTTCAGTGGTCACCTCACAATGAGACTATTTTGGCTTCCAGTGGTACTGATCGTAGACCGAATGCCTTGGATGTGAGTAAAATTGGAGAGGAACAGTCCCCAGAAGATGCAGAAGAGGGCCTACCAGGGTTGTTATTCATGGTGGTGACACTGCTAAGATCTCTGATTTCTCCTGGAATCCCAATGAACCTTGGGTGATTTGTTCTCTATCAGAAGACAATATCATGCAAATGGCACAGAACATTTATAATGATGAAGACCCTGAAGGAAGTGTGGATCCAGAAGGACAAGGGTCCTAGACACTATCTACACTTGTGATTTTAGACTCCCCTTGCTTTCCTCTGAACCCGGAGATAATGATTTAACAGTGGTTTTGAGACAAGGACTTTGTTCATCCATCACTCCATAATAGGTGCCACCAGTAATGCTACAAGCCCAAGCAGTGGGTGTTTTCTAAACCTTAACTAGGGGTCTTCATTCAAAAAAAGCCACAGACATATTTAAATTTTCTTCAGGAATTTTCTAGTGAAAAACCCAGGTCTAAAATAGTTTCAGAAATGGGGTGTAATATGTGTGATATTTTTCTTCTTAAGCTATAGCCCCAATTTTTTCAGACTCTTAAGTAATAGCTAGAGTGAATAAGGAATAGAGCCAAGTGAGGTAGGTGTCTAAGCCATGAAGTATAAATATTACAAGATGTCATTTTTATTCAGAAATTAGGGGAGGTTTACGTTATATAAATTCCTACTCTACAGTCTTCATGCCTGACTTTCCAGGATGTATTTTCCCACATAGCCCAGTCATTTATTGGTTTCTTCAGTTAAGACCACACGTTCTTCCTTCCCCATATATTTTGCTTGTTAGTGTATTTCCTGAGCTGTTTTCATATTATTCTTTTCCTTTCTGTGAAATAGTTTTTGTTATTTTTTTTTTTTTTTTTAAATTTGGGAACACCAAGTTGGAAAGATGTATGTTTTTGCCTAGCAGTTCTACCACAGGGGAGCTGCCAAGTTGAGAAGAGTGATTTGATAGTTTGTGTTTGTTTTTAAAATTAAATTAGTCCTTGATAAGAGTTGCTATTGTTTTTTAGGGGTTAGTCCTTGACCACTATAGTTTGATGCCATTTCCATTTTGGTTGACCTGTCTCACCATCAGGCCTGTTGCTCTCCATGACTGTATGTAAGTGCTTATAATGGAATAAATTGCTTTTCTATATTTAAAAAAAAAAAAAAAAAAAAAAAAGGACAGAGCCAGTGGCCCTATATTTTAATATTCCATTTGTAATAGCTCATGAATGTTCAAGGTGCTGATGGGCAAAAACACACTCTTTATTACAGAGAACAGCCAGTCAAAACTTTAGACAGAATTAACTTCTCCCCATATCTTTCTATTGCTAATATGCAAGTCTGATTTCAGATTTTTAAGAATTTGTTTTATTTAGGAAAGATGTTTCTCTTTCCTTTCTTTATTCTTTTATGGGCCCTATTTTGGGGTGGGAGGAGGTGCAGCTGTGTATTACTCTGGTTTTAAGATTTTGTGGACAGATGGCTCAGCTGTTAAGAAAAATGACTGCTCTTGGAGAGGATCTGGGTTCGATTTCCAGCACCCACATGGCAGCTAACAGACATTCATATCTCCAGTTTCAGGAGATCCGATGCCCTCTTCTCACCTCCTCAGGTAATGCATGACACAGGTGCACTTACACATACAGGCAATACACTCCTACACATAAAATAAAGTAAGTTTAAAAAAAAAAAGATTTTATTATTCTTCAGAGGTTTCGTCCCAGTGGTTAAATCTACAATTCCTTCTTTAAATCATAGGTATAGTAAGAATCTATGAAGAACTGAATCCTCACTTACCAGGGTAAATATCATTCCCATGACAATAGGAATAAAGATGAAATTGAGGGTGGTAACCTGCAGTAGGCAGCAGTCCTGGTCTGGATTGGTATGAACATCTTCATACTGAACAGGAGGTTGCAACCGTTCCATACATTTGCTTTTTAATCTAGGAGACTAAAGAGAGTTAAAAATTAATCTAGTGGCATACAGGAAATATTTGTCTTTAAGAGACTGCCAAGTAAAATCCAACACTAAACTACTAAAGCTAATACAATTTTTCTGTCATCTTTTTTTTTTTAATTTTTATTTATTTTTTGTATGTGTGTAATGCCTACATGTTTGTAAGTGCACCCATGTGGTGCAATGCCCGCGGAGGACAGAAGAGGCTGTTGGACCCCCAGGGACTGGAGTTACAAACAGCTGTTAACTGCCATGTGAGTGCTGGGATTCGAACCCGGGTCTTCTGCAAGAACAATCAGTGTTCTTAACTGCTGAGCCATCTCTCCAGCCCCTCTGTCATCTTTTTTGTATATATACTGGTTTCTATTCAAAGATCAGAAACAATCTGCCCTTTAAGAAAAGGAAAAGCATATTTGGGTTAGTAAATATAGCAATGGGCTTATGTTTCATTAACTAGGATTCCCATCATCTGACAAGAAATGGAAACAAAGCCTCCAAAAGTATCTGCTACACAAAAGAGACAGGTGTAGAATGACCTCCAAATTCCAGGCAACATAAAACAAGGGATTCCCAAGTCTCAGGACTAAAGAGACTCTCAGCATTCATTTTCCTGCAGTAACTCTGGTCTCTACGTCTTGTCCCACTTCTCCACTGCTAGGGCTGCCCCTCTCAGTGGAGAAAGGTCCTGCAGCAAACTTTCTGGCAAGTGTCTAATTGACATTACAGACCATATCTCACAAATGCAAAGCACAAGAGACAAATTTCTTCCCCAGAACTATGTTTTTAAAATAAATTAATGGGAAATTATTATTTACTTTATTTGTGGGGCAAGATGGATAAGCAGTAAAAGTGCTAACCCGCCTGTCAGCAGATGAAGGCTAACTGTACTTACAATGTCTCACCAGTGTGCTAAGTAGAGGAGACAAGCTTCAGGGGGAAAAAAATGAAGCCGCTGAGGATAAAGAGCAAAGACAAAGCAGATGCTCACTGTGGTCCAGATCACAAGTAGAGACAGAAAAAAGGCAGACAGAATGGATGAACGTGTTTGAAAATTCTTTTTGGCAATCCCTTTCCAAATCACCTCAGATATAAACCCATATAAATTATCACTGTTCACAAACTTACAATTTTTAATTTATTTATTTCATGTGTGTGCACACACATGCAACAGCATCTGTGTGGAGGTCAGAGAACATCTTGTGGGAATCAGTTTTCACCTTCCACCATGTGGGTCCTGGGGATTAAGTCATCAAGCTTGGTGGCAAGAGTCCTTACCTGCTAAGCCATCACACCAGCCTGAAAGTTTTTAATTTTTGAACCAAAAAAACTATGCAAATAATTTCAGTACACTACTAAAATGTTCCTTTTTTCACTTTTTAAATTTACGGAGGCTGGAGAGATGGCTCAGGAGTTAAGAGTACGTGTTACTCCTGCAGAGGACCAGGGTTCGAGTCCCAGCACCCACATGGTGGCTAACAACCATCTGTAACTCCAGTACCAGGGGATCTGATACCCTCTTCTGACCTTTGTAGGCACTGTACAACACGGGTGCGCTTACACACACGCAGGCAATACACTCATACACACAAATAAAAATAACAAAAAATTTAAATTTTCATACAAAAAACTCCATGACACATTCAACCATATTATGCCACATTTTCCCCTCCTTCCTCTCATTTTAAGTATCTATATACTTAAAAATCACACACGCATTGGAAAGAGGTACAAAACCCTCTGGAAGGAACACAAGACAGTATACCCTTAATAATTAATAATAAAAAGTAAAATTAATAATTTAAATTAATAAATTAATAAATTAAATTAATATAAATGAATTAATATAAAATAATTTAAGTTAAATTAAAATTAATAATAAAAATTAGTAGTAAAAAGTAAAAATGAAAATATACAAATATAATAGCATCACCATACATAGTAGGCTAGGGATATAGCTCAGTGATAAAGTATTTGCCTACAGTGCACAGGAGGGGAAAGAAGGGGAAGAGAAGAGAAAGAGGGCAGGAGATTAGCGATAACTTACCATTATCTAATAGCCACAACATAATCAATTTTCCTCAACTGCCCCCAATATGTTGGTGTGTGTTTATGTGTATTCACATGTGTACACGTGCATGTGGAGGCCAGAGATCAATATCAGGTGCCTTCCTCTATCATCCTCCACCTCATTTTTTCAGAGTCTCTTACTGAACCTGGAGATCTCCAATTGGCTAGACTGGTTGGCCAATGAGCTCCAGGGATCAGTCTCCACCTTCTCAATAGTGGGGTTACAGCAGAGCACTACCACATCCTGCTATTACCTGAGTGCTAGGGATCCAAATGCCAGTCTTCATGCTTACGGCAGGCAGACATTTTACCCACTAAGCCACCACCCCAGTCCCCCATAGTGTCTTCTGTAGTTCTCTTCTCTGATCCAGGAACCACTCAAGGTTTCCCTTGGGTAAGAACCAAAAATTGCTCTTCCCACCCCCACATCCAGTATAAAACAGCTCCTCTTAGGCTGGACATTATAGTGCACACCTTTAATCCCAGCTCTCAAGAGGCAGACAGGTCTCTGAATCCCAGACCATCCAGAGCTACATAGTGAAACCTTGCCTCAAGAAGGAAGAAAAAAAAAAAATTCCTCTTTTTCATGATTATAAGTTTTGATATATACTATTTGGTTTTTAATAATGTCATTTCATGCCTAATATTATGGTTTGAGCCCAGCGCAGTGGCGCATGCCTTTAATCCCAGCACTCAGGAGGCAGAGGCAGGCGGATCTCTGTGAGTTCAAGGCCAGACTGGTCTACATAGCGAGTTCCAGGCCAGCTGTGGCTACAGGGAGACCCTGTCTATCTGAAAGACAAAGAGAAGCATACCTGTTTTTTGAACTTGAAGTTGAATTCCCACATTGGTTCCTGTCTGTTCCCAACAATCTTTCTGCACCAGAAAAGTAAGCACTGTAAGAAAAGTAAAAATAAACTAAGGGGACAGGGACATCAAAACAGTCTATAAAGTACCAAAAATAATCATCAAAAATATCTCTGACCGCTCTAAAGCCAACTATAGTCCCAATGTTGAGGATTTACTCTGGCACACACAGACCCCCAGCTTGACACTGGTGCAACATGGAAAGACAATCACAGAGCTATTCTGGAAGGAGAAGAGGGACCAATATAAGTCAACCTCAGAGACTATTAAGATCATCCCACTGTTTTCATCTTTAAGGACAGAAATACAGTATTTTAGAGACTGGGGCATTTTCTGATTCAACAGGCCACTGTTCTACATTAAAATATAGAGGCAGCACGTAGCCACCAGGCAAGATGGTAACAAGGCCATAAAAAGGCAAGGAGGGCTAGCCCTATAATAGGAATAAGTCACTCAGGACCTTCTGGGAGCAGACAGCCAATATGGAAACCACAGAGCCAGCTGAATTCAGTCTAGAATAAGTCCCTCAATGAAAAGTCAGGCTACAGCTAAGGTTAAGCACAAGAAGTGAAGTACCTCCCAGGGGACAAGGGGTGGGTCGTCCGCCGTGCCAGCTGTCCTGCCCTTCAGACATGCCCTGTACGTTCTGCTGTTCCATCAAAAATAATGGGCTTGGCTTTAAGGGGAAAACACTTCTGCTGCCATCACAACGGCTCCAGTGTCCCACACAAGCTATGCTACTGAAAAGAGAGAGAGGGGAATCAAATACGAAAAGCTAGAGTCCAGAAACATGGGACAACTTCCTTTAGGCATGCTGGCAACTCCCTGAATGCCACACGATTATGGGCATGTAAGTGGTGAGGCCATGCATGAGGCATCTGCCACTGCAGGTCCCACACCCTCTTCAGAAGATCACTACCAAGGCAAAAAGAGGCAGCCAGATAGCCTGTGCTTACTACCTGGATTAAGAGCTTAATTTTCAATCCACTTTGGCTTTCACAATCTACTTTAAAAAAAAAAAAAAAAAAAAAAACCCCCAAAAAAAAAAAAAAAAAAACCCCCTAAAATTTCTGGGGTCATTCAAAAAACTCAAT